GAAGTGTCTTCATCACCTCCTTTCACTGACTATGTTTCAACTCGTTGGTGAGTTGTCTTCTCTAGTTTGGTGCATCCTTTGTTCCCAAGTGCTTGTAAAAGTTTTGCCTCTGGGCTCTGATGTAAGGATGTTCTAATGTCTTTAAAAGGTACCGAGCACCAGAAGTTTTGTTGCAATCTTCATCATACACACCTTCTATCGGTATGCACTGTCGGTACATTCTTGCAATTTCAGGAGCTTCTTGTGTGGCACACTAGGTCATTTTTTCATTTGACACCAATAGGTTTCAATATGTTTAGAAACTCAAGCTAGCATCCTGAAATTTTGTTCTTGAATCTTGAGGGCCGTTGCAGCTAGTTTGTTGCTTGTCCTTATATACTTGATAATCTAAGTACATTGCGCAGCAGCATATTTCGTGTCTTTTGATATTTTATGGTGATTTTGATGGTAAGGACGTTGTGTGACCTTCCATGGTTCTTTCAAGGTAATAAACCTGCCATGGCTCTTTCAAGGTAATATAACCTTCAATGGGTTCAATGGAGGTTGTGTAAAAGAAAATAGGGGAGTGCCAGGAAATCCTGTGGACCAAGTTCACCATGCCTAAAACAGGCCCATCAAAGCCTTGACTTTAAAATGCTGGTTTGATTCAATAGTAGAACTGGAATATGAGACATTTGCTGGTGTTCTTCTTGAAGAAACTAAGAATTTCTTCAGCTTTTTTTCCATGTTTGTCTAGCATGATATTAGATGAATGTACAAAAAAACTTGGGTCAGTTTTCTAGAACATTGTTGACCAGTGACTTGGCTCCCTTTTCAATTCTTGAACTTATCTTATGTCTATTCACTAATTGACATGCTTGGGTATTTTCAATCTCTTTTCCTTGTATTTTTTTAGATTGCTTTGTTTTGGAATTTTAATGGTCATTCTATGATCTGTCCAAAAACATACATCTCTTTGAACTGCTCTTCTTTTGAAGTTCTCAAACATTCTTAAGTTTGACGGCCTTACATAGAAATTGTTCAATGTGTGGGAAGAACTCTTGGATAACATTTCATGTTTGTTTTTGTTGGTTAATTGATTTTTTTTTGACTCATGAGAATAAGGTCTGTACACAGATATGTGGGCAGTTGGTGCGGTACTTGCTGAGCTTTTCACTCTTTGCCCAATATTCCCTGGTGAAAGGTGATTTCATATCCCATATTGTCTTGCACAAAAATGATGTCGTAGCTTCTTTATTTTGGAGCCTAGACTGCTTTGACCTCAAATGTAACCGACAATTAGGTGATGTAGTTAGTTCTAAGAGCTTGTGGATCATATTGTTCAAATACTATGGGAAATTGGAACTTGATTCGTATCATTTGAAGAACTATTTCCTTAAAGAGTAATCTACCTTTTTCTTTGTCCAGTGAAATTGATCAGTTGTATAAGATATGCTGTGTTCTTGGACCGCCAGATTGGACTAGCTTCCCAGAACTGAGAAGTGCTTCACGGTTGTTTGACATTAATTGTTTTGATGTAAGTCCAGGATGGACTTCTTGCTAATTTCCTGCCAGTTTCTTTTGACCTTAATCACAGACATGTGAATGATCACGTATTTTTTCTTCTTCTTTTTGTTCCCGATAGATTACACCAGCCAATCTGTCTGATTTCATTCCAAATGCTAGCTTGGAAGCTATCGACTTGATCAAGGTATTCCTACTAGCTGCTTCTTTACATTGCTGGCATACTTTATGCACGAAATACGAAGTGGTTCTTTACTGATCTATCCCTCCTTTATGACATAGCAACTCTGCTCGTGGGACCCATTGAGAAGACCAACTGCTGACCAATGCTTACAGCACCCATTTTTTCATGTAAGCCGTTTTATATTATTTGCCGTTAGCTTTAAATTTTTACTGTATTGGCATCCTTCCATGGAGATTAAAATAACCTGCCACTTGCTAATGAATAGGTTGATATGTCAATTCCTCGTCCTCTAGAGGATCCACTGCAGATGAATTTAAGTAGTGTTGGTAAGAACTCGTAAGATACTTTTAGCATCCGTCACTATCCACTTTTAGTTCATGAAGCTATCCTGTTGTGCAGGACCTGAGCCTAATCTTGAGTTGAACCTGTGGGATTTTGGGACAGAAAAAGATGACTGCTATCTTGGTTTGACTTTGGCTGTGAACCCAACTCCCTCTTGTCTAGGTATGAACTTTCAAGATTTTAATTATTTCAGGTTTATTTCTGTATAACATCCCTCTGTCTATGTCTCAATTTGTTGCAACAATTATGATTTGTTCATGTATATTCTGGCTTTTGTAATAACTGACATCTTTGTCATTGACTCATTGTGTCTTCTTCTATCTTGTTTCTTAGAAGCAATACCTACACCGCTTTTGTCCGCTCTAAAAAGGGAAATATATATTCTTGATATGGTGGTAATCCTAGTTTAAGAACGTCTCAAATTTTCCCAGGGAAACATTATTTCTGAAGACATTATACCTGGCTCTTATATCATATAAAACAACTTTAAAGCAAAAAATCATCTTTGTGATAGTATCATTCTTTAAGAGCACGAGGACTGACATCCTTGCTTAGTTTATGTCTTGCCTTAATTTTCAAGTTTTTGTTTTATCGTTGTATGCTCTCTTTTCCAGTTGCAACTTCCTAAAACAATTTACCATAAACCTCATCATGTAGATTTATTTCCAGCAAAGATGGCAAGTAAAAGTCAAGGTGCAGGAACGGTGAGTGTCTTAATTTTTTTAATTTTATTTTACTACTGGGGTCACTGTTTTCAGGATTTCTTCCCGTAAGACTCCTGAGTTTGATAAATTCTTCTAAAAGGTTTTTAACAACATTGGCAGGATATGTTCTGCTCTGGTTTCCAAGATCACTCGCAACACTCAGGTAGCTCATATACTTTTCTTCCTAGTGTAATATATAAATATATTGTTGTTGTGAAGAAATGAATCTTGGGCCTAACTCAACCCAAAAGATAGCTTATATGGGGAGGATTGTCCAAGTCCATATAAGGAGTCCAAATTTTCCTCATCCCACCTATGTTGGACACCGGGACTAAACAGTTTTGTTAACCATTCTGCAATTTTATACAACCTTCTTTTTTCTTTTTGTTATGGGTGTGTGGTTCTATAATAGTATAACTGCCTTGTGTTTTAAGACTCTTGAATGAAACCTAGAATGCTGAAAGGTTTGTCCGCATATTATGGTTCATTCTGGGTATTTAATGTAGTTGGTTGAAATCTTCACCCTTCTATACAATTTTACTTAGAGATGTCATGGCTGTGTTGATCTCTTCTTTTCAGTTTTCTGGTCATTGTTTCCTACTGATCGCCATCAGATATCTACTCCGGTGGACTCCTCATTGTCATTATCATTCAGGTCAGTATCCATTTATCATATTTTCTTTCTGTTAATGGCATAAGTTTTGGTGGGTTTTTGAGTTATGTATTCCCCTGTTGAGAAGAGAAATGAAATCATCCCGCTACCCAGTTTTGGTGGGTTGTTGAGTGATGTATTACCCCTATGGAGAACAGAAATGGAATCATCTTGCTATCCAGTTCCCTTGACAAATTTCTGTTCAATATCATTTCTCATATTAGTGATTGAACAAATCTTAGTCTTCCCAACTGTCCACTACCTTTGCTAAACGGACAGCATCAGATACATTTCCTTTCCCGATAAGACCCAATTGTATTACAACTTTGCATGTCAGTACCGGGGAATGCAAGGATCGGTCTTGCTCTATTGATCAGAAATATTATCTGCATGGAACAATTAATTGAAGCTGCCTGTAGGAAACATGAAACTGAAGTTGTCCCTTTTATTTTTGTCTGCAGCACGATTCCACAGTCAACTATTGGAGCTCCACAATCAACTAGTTTTGGCATGACATCTCTGCAGAGTAACTTCTTGGAGCGCCCCTTTCTGGCTATGTCATCCTCCTTTCAGCAGGGACGTTGCCTTTGAGCTCCTGATTCAACTCTCTAGTTCGATTAAATAAGCAATTATACTAGTATTTAGTTGTAATCTGTATATGTAGTAGTCAGCACAGTTAAAAGTCTATTTACTAGATTTTTTTCCATAATTTTCAGAAGATTCTCTTCTAAAGATGTAGAGCGACCCACACCCCTTTTAGGCGGTGTAGTTGGTGTCCTTGCGGGAACAATCGTATAGAAGATGACTGTTGTAATTATTAAATTAAACCATAATAAACGTGGAGAAAGATACAACTCTAGTTCTTTATTTTAGTTTTTTTTTCTTTGTTAGTTGGATGAGCTGATTGCCTGGCCTTTTGGGTCCACAAAAGATATGATAGCTACTTTTGAAGAACATCACTTCTTGAAAAGTTCAATGTCCAATTTCCTTGGTAGTAGTTCTTGGAGGTAGGGACAATGAAATTTTGAATTTGTAATTTGGAAATTAATAGATCAAACTCAAGAGTTTTCAACACTTTTAAGTTTGTCCACACTTTTGATCTACGACGTATATATAACAAATTATATCTATCAGATTTAACGAGGATCAAAATTTATGGTGAAAACTCACGTTTGGAGGTTTGATTTTCGTTTTCCGCTATTCTTGGTCTATTTCTAGTGTGCAATACAACTTTTTTTTTTTATATGAAATTACTGATATGTTTAGTCTACTTTTTATGTGTCTACTACAATCTTTAAAGTTGTAGACTCTAGGATGTAGTGAGACTTATTTGGTGTTTTATGATTAAGCATTTTTGTTCACGGTTATCATAAGATTTAAATAAAAACATTTACAGGAGATTAAAAATGGTCATTTTTGTCAAACTCAAAAGAACCAAAATCAATCAAATCATACTTAAAAGACTAATTTGTACGTACCTCAAATATAAGGGACCAATTTCGTTCGTTTATTTAACCAAATATCCAACCTCCTTAATTTTTTCTAAACTGTAACGTAATCTCCTTATTAATGAATCTAATAACCAATCAACCACCGCTAAATCAGATAACACGTGGCAGAAGCCCGGATAATCTTCCAACAAACACACCTTCACTCTGATTTAAAACCCTTTTCTTAGATTTTGCTTCTTCCACTCTTGTTGGCTAGCATATTTCATCATCAGCTTCTTTAACTCCACTCTTTTCTTCTAATCCTTAGAAAAGTGGATTTTGAAAAACCCAAAATCACAGTAATAGTTCATAGAGTTTTGCAGGCTTACAGTTATGGGTGGAGATACTACATCCCCTCATTCTCCTATCATCCATTCCACTGGTACAATATATTAAAATCTTTCCATATTGTTTTTTTTTGTGGGGTGGGGTGATTTTTTCACATTTCTTGCATAATTTTGATATGTATGTTTGTAAAGTATGGTGTGTTTTGAGAATCAGGAGGTGTCAGGTTCAAATTCCGAGATAAAATATAGTAGGTGATTTCTCCCTATTTGTTCTAGCTGACAGAGTTATTTGCAGGAGGTGATAGAAATCTCGTGAAATTAGTTGAGTTTGTGTTCAGAATTCAGTAAAAAAGAAAATGAGGTGTAGCAGTAGGTTGACGGTTTGGTAAAACTAGTTTTGAAAATCTGATCAGATAACTCACTGGACTAATCTGGACTTGAGACGAACAGTTATTGATTCTTGCATAGTTTTTTTCTTACTTGAAAATCTAGACTTGATGCACTGACAAGGCTGAAAAAAAAGATTTTGACTTTTTTATACTTGCAGAAGAATCATCTCTTGATGAGAACTTCCCTAATAACCCGCTAAGCTCGCTCAGGTATTTTTTGTTACTGGTTCATGTTTTTTCTACAATCAGGGACTCAGCACAGGCTCTGTCTTTGTATGTGTACATGTTTGTTATATTAGTGGTTGGAAATTGGAATGTCTGCAGTGGTAGTGATCGTTTTGGCACAAAAGTAGAGAATATTTCTGTGGATTCGGAGGAATTCGTTAGAGCTTCTTCAGATATAATTGATGAGATGAATAAAAAGCAGATAAGGAATGTATATATGGATGTTCTCAAGAGCTATGAGGAACTGCAGTTCCATAAGGACCATTTGGAGGAAGCCAAAAATAAAATCTTGAGGTACAGTTATTTATGGTAATTCATTTTCTATGTTGTTCTTTTTCTCTGGGAGATAAGTAACTACGCAAATTTTACGATGCTCCTCAAATTTATCAAACTTAATTATTTTGTGGGTGCAGTGTAATTCATGGCCTTGTTTGATTCCTCTTCCACTGTTTCAAAAATGTCATAATGAAATGTTGCATTTTGGGTTTTATTTCTGGACAATTGGCTAAGCTCCAGTAAATGGGAAATGACAACATCTAGTCTCATAATTAAGTTTTGGACTAGGTTGAAAAATAATCCAGAGTCTTTGTCCAAAATGTTAAGTGTTAACCAAATCCTTTTTAGTGGTTGAGGTAGAGATTTGGGAAAAGTAGCAAACATAATATGATACATACAGTGAACAAGAACTAAATTCTGGAACATAATTCTGAGAGACCCTCTTGGGATCCATGCTAGTGAGAATATGAGCATTAAGTTTATCGTACGTGTGGAAGAAAAAAAAGGTGCTTTGGTAGCCTCCACTGCAAGGGAAGAACCATTTTTGAAGCAATACTGGAATCTGGAGATCTCCAAAGGAGTTCATCCCCTAGTTAGGATAGGAGAACTGAGCTAGTTTAAACCGGAATTCGGATTTGGTTCAACGGTAAAATTAGTACAATGTGGGATGTGGGGTAGGTGCTTCACGAGCTTGAGTCTTGCTGCAAACCAAGTCTAGTATTCAAGTGGAGAAGAGGTATTGGGCTGGACCCATTTTTCTCCGAATTTCAAAGTTATAAACAATTGATCTCTCAGTTATTAAAAAAGAGTGTGCAAGATATTTTTATGTTGTAGAAGTATAATGCTCTGGTGTTTACATCAGCTTAAATTCTCATGAGATGCTCAACACAGCTCAGACACGCCGATGTTGTAGTTAACCATGGCAGTGGAAATGCTAATCCTATTCCAGTTTATCTGAGAGGATAAATACAAATTCTTCTTGTTATGCAATTAATGTTCATTCACTTGACCTAGAGAGTAGAGACAGCAATGTGGATTAGTGCCCTGTGACAGAATATTTGCCATATCTTCGCATAATTTGTAACTTAGTTAGCTAGTTATATTTTTGCATAACCTTATCTTACTTCATCTCAGCAGTTATTCAGTTTCTCAATTGTACACATTAGATTCCAGATAGCAGATTATAAAGTTTAAAGTTCTTTGTCTTGGGTTACCTGTAAATACTATGCAATTGTTGAGGTACATGGTAAATGAACACCTGCAGCTACACCCCTGGATCGTGGATTGAGGAGGTGGGTGGAATGAAAGCGAGTGATTACAATATACCAAAAAAGACGACACTTTTGTTGATTGGTCCAAGAGGATCTGGTAAAAGCAGTCTTGTAAACAAGATCTCCAGAGTGTTTGATGATGATCCTTTTACACCAGAAAGAGCTCAAGTATCGTGTATGTTCTCTTTCTCCTTTTCTCATGTAATAAAGTGAAACTAAGATAAAAGATAATCAGAAAGAATGTGTGTATCGTGTTTCCTTTGTTTGTCCTAGATACTAATGCAATCATATTGTTTTTTTCTTTAAATATTAGTTGTCAGATAATTAACTTGTCATAACAACCTCATGGTTCTAAATCTGTGGGTTACCAGATTCTTCTGATGGAGATGGGACATATTTCCTCCATGAGTACACGATGCCAAAAGGTTCAAGTTCTTTCTGTTTGTATGACACACGTGGTCTGTCGGATGATTTGAATGAAAATATTAAAATTGTGGACCGCTGGATGAAAAAGGGGGTTCGTCATGGGAAGCTAATAACCAGGTTTATATGATTATTTTGAATTCCCTTGAAAAAACTTAGGGTATCCCGACTCTCTGAAATGCTCCTTTTGACAGGGATTCTGATGATGCAAATCCGAAGTCTAAAGTTCGCCGAAATAGATACTGTGCCAGTGAGACCAATGTGGTTAATTGTGTCATATTTGTTGTCAGTGCGGTCCAAATTCTACAATCGATGGACAGCGATGATGAAACAAAAAGGCAACAAACTCGAGCTGTTGCTTCAAATTTCAACTACCCTCTCTTGTCATTCAAAGGTATTAATTCACTTTATTGTAATGTTGTTATCACTTCAATCTGTCTTTTGGCTTTTTGAGTGCAGTGTAGTTGATTAAATATTAAATGCATTTTGTTAGTATTAGAAAAATATGTAGACAGGAACACAGTGTACTTGTGTTCTATTAGATAACGGTTAATATTAATTGAAGCTACCTCGATCAGAATATGGGGGAGTTCATTGTGGGTTTACAAAATAATGTTGAAGTAATCATGTGAAGTGTTGGCCCATCCAAAAACAAGTGTCTGATCGACACTAAGTTTATAACATATTTCAGTATCTATCATCCCATTTCCTCTTTCTCGTTGTTGGAGCATATCACAAACAGCTCTTTTAATTTGCATATTCTCACCATCTCAGATGAAAAACCTATTGTTGTGCTCACACATGGTGATTTACTTTCACTTTCGGATCGTACGCGCATCCGCATGCATTTGGGACAGCTGCTGGGTATTCATCCCAAGAAACAAATTTTTGATATCCCAGGTGACATCAAGATAACTTAGCCTGCTAGTACATGAATTTGTTTTAGTTGAACAAAACTCTAACCACCCCGAACCCCCGTTCTATTTTTCTCCTTTTGGTCTTGTGTTTTCAGAAAGTGATGATTTTGCAACTAGGTTGACTATACTCAACATGCTGCGCCATTGTCTTGAGCGTGCTGATAAAAACCTACCCTTCAAAAAAGACCTACCTTTCAAAAGCCCATATAGATGCAAGGTAAGATTATTGTTAGAGCAAATTACATGGTTCATTTATTTTTAGCTGGTTTCATGTCTTTGTTAGGGACTTTAAAGTTCATTTGTCTGTAAAAACGGCGTACTGCACCTTCCTTTGATCATTGATGGACATCTCCCAGATCAAATGGGTATTCAGTCAACACTTCAACCTTCTAGCTAGTGTCTTTTGGGAACCATCAATTTAGTTGAATGTTGAAGCAGTAATGCATAATTACAGAGACGTTAATGTTGGTCATTTTTCACTTGTACGCTTTGCCTCTTGGCAATAGTTACCTATTATGCTACTTCTAAGTTCTATGGATCTAGGGTGTTGCATGTTCAGATGATGTCAAACTTAGGCCGAGTTAAAATGGGTTGAGTAAATAAAGAGTCATGTAGCAATCACTCAAAGTTCACTTGCCTTAGAATGGGTTGAATTGTGAGTCACAGTCAAGCCATCCAACTAGAAATTGCTTCTACAGTTACAGTTGAGTTTCTAAAAATCGTTCACTCTGCAATAAAGTAAAACCACTATACACGAAAGAATTTGGCTGTAACTTTCTTTATTCAATTCATCTACTATTTAACGACCCCCAACTTGCCTGGATTGAGATATAGTTTATTCCTCTATTGTTTGGCGAATCCTGTAGTGGTTAGCAATGTAGCCTGCTGGATGATTGATTTGGGCTGTTCAATTTTTCCACTTTGATGAATGCCCCCCACGACCCACCTAACCTGTTGACACCCTTACTGAGATTCAATTATGATATTGCTATATCTAGTTCATCGATATATATTTGCGCACACAACTGATTTTAGGTATAGATAGCATTTAACTAGTATTATGACATTTAGATGGAAGAAGTACAATGCATGTATTCATTGTTTTAGAGACGATAATTGATTTGTGCTGCTTGTAAAATCTACCATACACTGCATCTACCTACATGTGCTCTTCAATTCAAACTACTGCTTGTTGTGCAATTCAAATCATTTAGTACTGTTTTTGCTTTTAGGGGGCCTTGCAGATGCTTGCAGTACGTCTTCTATTGGCATATGCGTTTCTAGCAATACTTTTCGGAATGGGGATGATGTTCAAGAATACTCTCAAAGCCAAAGTTGCCTCAATTCCCGATTCACAGGTATCACAATCACATATGGACATAGATTGGCATGCAAATACCGTTGATTCTGCACCCAATCTTCAGCCTGAGGCAATGCAACCACATGTAGAAGTAGAGTGTCATGCAAGTGAGGTTGATTCTGTTCCCAATATTCACCCTGAGGCCCCCCAATCAGATGAAAACTTAGATTGTCGTGCAAGTGAGGTTGATACTGTGTGCGATCTTCACCCTGAGGCCCACCAATCAGATGAGAACTTAGATTGTCATGCAAGTGAGGTTGATTCTGTTCGCGATCTTCACCCTGAGGTCCCGGAGTCAGATGATAGCTTAGATTGGGGTGCAATCCGACACTTATGGTCTGACTAAGTTTATTGGTGAGCTCCTACATATAGAGGTTGACGCATACTTTCTCTGTATAAACGGCATTAGCTGTCTTACTTTCCCTGTATATAACAATTTTCAGCAATAATTCTCTTGGAAAAGAGTGACAGCTCTTTAGGAACTCTTTGCATACAAGCGTTGAACTGGACTCTTTTACTACTGTTGCTGTTGCATAAGTGACTATTTAGCATCAATTCTCTCGCTATGAGAAGCACACTTGTCGTGGCGTGGCATTATTATACATATATGGCTTATATTCGTCGGGGCAGTAAATAGACGAACTAGAAAAGCTCTGCGTTTTAACATGCACATAGAAGGAAACTAATAGGTACAGGGATTCAGAAATCAATAATTTGTACTACTATGAAAATTTAACACAAGGTCCAGAAGACGAGTGTAAGCTCTGATTCACATGATACTGAAATGAATTCAATCGGGACTTCAGTAACATTAATATTGCAGAAATGGTTGGAAAACATCATATATATGTGTGCTATAATAAGGCACATTATAAGGCACAATGTGCCAGGTATGGACACATCAATCAATGGCAACTGCATTACAAATGAAAAACCAAGGGCAACTTAAAAATATTGCTGGTATAGACCCTTGCTCATGCTACATATTACAAGGATGAAAAAAAATGGATAAAATTTCATAACCTCATTTATCACTATGCTGTAGAAGTAAAAACAGGACTTCATGTACCGAGCAAAGAACCTCCATTCTTGAATTCAGCGCGAGTTTGCTTCTCGATTCCTTCAGTTTTACCTGAGTCATCCGTACGACAAGTACTTAGCTTGCTGTAGCCTGTATATATCCTTTGGGAAAAGACATCATCTTCCTGCAGAACCAGAGTCTGGGAGGCTCTGCAAAAATTTTGCTCTTGCAACAGGGTCAGTGGAAAATCGACCCAACACAGCAAATGTGGCTGTGTTGCTTCCAAATTTCTCGATTCCTCTAGATATCATACAGGTGTGATTTGCTTCCACAACTACGATAATGTCTTCACCTAAGAATGATGAAACAGTCTCAGCTATTTGTCTGGTTACCCTTTCCTGTACTTGGAGTTTAAAGCCATAAAAATGTACTACTGATTGCACTAGAGGTCTTCCGACCGGGTTGACTCCATCTGAAGAGTGATAACCAATGTGCACAACGCCTTGAAAAGGGAGTAGATGATGTTCGCACTGAGACCAGAATGACAAATTGAGCTCAGAGCAGATGCCATCATTAAAATTACCACCCTGAGGACTTCGAGTGTCTATTCTACTTCGAACAAAGCCATTCAGTTTCATCTCCAAATTAGAGTTTCTAAAGTTCATGAACCACTTCACAAACCGAGATGGGGTTTCTACAAGCTCTTCTCTCAATGGATCTTCACCCAGGGATTTAAGTATTGAATTCACTGCATTTGTCATAGCTGAATTTGCTTGTCCTGGCATGCCACAAGATTGAGATGGGCACCATGATTGGCCAGAGGATCTACGATGAGCATTGTCTATGCTAATACCTCTGAATTTCAGTAGACTCCAGAAATCAGTCCAAACATCAGCATTCCCATCTTCAAAAACACCAGAACCTGAGGTAGCTGTTATCTTTACCCATCCTTGGGAAGTCGAGTCGAGAAATGCTGATTCAAAATTTGGAAAATGAATATGCATACACTGTAGAACCACAGCAACGCCTGTTGGCTTGATTCCATGCTGCAAAGCAGTGCAAACTTCATCAGCAAGGCGCTGTGGACTTTGGAGCCGTTTTGCAAAAATATCAGCAACCCGAGAAAGCTTGCTTAATCCTACAACCCTTTTTCCAGATGGGACATAACCTACATGACACTTAACCTGGAATGGAAGCAAGCAAGACTCACAATACGAAAAGAGATCAAGATCTCGAACAATCACAAGCCCACCAACTCCTCCAGCCTGACCACTTCCACCCTCCAATCCAGCTTCAGGGAATAATGCGCCATGAACAATATCATTCACTTTTTGTTTGTAACCTTCATACAACGCAAAATATGGAAGACTAGAGTCAAACGGTAGTTTAAAACATGAATCCTCCAATCCATCTACAATTGAAACTATAAACATGTTTCATGCTAATAGAAGATGTGGATTTCCTTTTCATACAGCATGATGAGTTCTGCAGTGAACTAGTATAAGATAGATTTCAGTGACTTGCAACAATTTGTTATGATGTAGTCAAGTTCTTGGTTTTCAAAAAATTTCACTGAAGAAAGCCCCACACTTGTTTCAACCTAGAACAGAGATACAGCACTAACCAGCAACCAAGTATTTAAATGTAAACTGCACACAGGAGAAAGGAACAAAGAAGACTGTTTCTTAAATAAACAAGATGAAATTCCTGATTGCATATGAAGAAACGTTGCTCCTGGAGATGCTTCTCTTGACTAGAAAAAGAACACATGATATCATATTTTAGCTTATGCACTGTTCCCACAAAAGAAATTCTTAACTTTTCAATTCCTACAAGTCAGTGATGCATTGTTCCATGATCAAGATGGAAAAGTTTAATCTTTCATCTTTACTTTCCCTCAAGTGTATTGAAGAGACACACACATCAGTTTCCTTCAACTGTGCTTCAAGGATGAGTATCAAAATCGAATACATGGTTGCAAACCATCCAAAGATACAGTTTTGGACCATCCGGAAGGAAGGAACTTGAGATATTCTGAGGGGTTGGAAAACACCACCCTAACCTGAAAACCTTTTAAAGTTTGATGAAATCGTTGCTTCAAATATTCCAGAATAAATATTCCGGCTACACAATGAAAATAATTATTTGGTGTAATGAAGAAAACCAGACCTGAAAGTACTTTTAAAACTCAATTTTAAAATGGTATAAAAGCAACTAAAATATTACTCCTAGAAATGACAAAGTTTGTTTGTCTGGTTTAAAGCTAATTCCTCCACCTTACCCCTTCTCTTTCCTTTTATACATAATAAGGACAGATTGCTCATAATTGCAGAACCCTCACTAAAGGAGAAAAAAAAAAGACCAATTCAGTAAATTCTTCAACTAAAAGAATTCCATCTTTCAGCATTTTCCAACAAGGGAAACACACAAACTAACACCATGACACAAAAATGAGCATTCATACTATTCAGCAGTTCTTACTAATAATACAACAAATCCCCACTTACAAGCTTGATGAACATACTCCTTTTTCCCTAGATCTCAAAAAGATAAAAAGTAGAACAGATCCATTGACACAGAACAAATAAAAAAACAAGTATTTCAAAATCCAAAAGGGTGTCAAAGTTTACCTCTTGTTCCTTGTCTTAGAGCCTTAGCAACACGAAAAGGGGTTTTCTTGATTCCTTCCCTATTGATATCTTCACCCAAACCCTGCAATAGGACTCTAACAGCATCCTGAATAACCAGTGTTTCAGGCTGAGTTTCAAAGCCAAGCTCAAAACTAACTTCGTTGTCTATTTCTGCATGATAGTGCCCTTCATCTAATGCGCCCATTGACACACAAAACGAAATAATAAAACAGATCTTACCACCTGAATCACAGGTGATGAATCAAGAACAAGAACAAAAATTGAATCTTTAATTCGAAAGATTTTAGCCAAAGATTCCAAATTTGAGACACCCAATGACCCAAATGAGGAAAATTTGACCAAAATAGGGATGAAAAGGGATTTGTAGGGCTGCTGTTGATGAACATATACTATAGGGATCTGGAGATGAGATGCATATGCATTACTACAACAACTTTGCAGTATTTAAAAAAATGTTTTCTTTTAATAATAAAAAAATACTTAAATAAATAAAAACATAAAAAAAAATTAAAAAAAATGTAAGGTTGCAGTTGATATTGGAATGTGTGGAAAGCTTTACTTAATTCTATCACGGCACTACTTGCTTACAAAATTAAGTTGTACCTTTAATTTAAGGTAAATTATTAAGTTTATTTTTAAACTATTAGCGATTTAAAAGATAATTATTTATTAATTAAAATTAAATATAGTTTAATCTGATACATGACATAAAAATGAATATTTTTTTTATTTAAAATATAAAATTATTAATTTAAAATTTAAATTATTAAATGGACTAAAAATGGGTGGTGCATTGGTGAATGTTGTTATCTTCTATACACCAATTAAAGTGGCCAGTGAGCAGTGACCACTAAACAAACTCATCATTTTGTCTTCTACTTAAATATGGCAAAATCCTCATATTGCTCTTCAATTTCAACTCTGTGGGACCAAATTTACCATTTTTGAAAGCATAAGCATGGCATAGAAATGGATAATAATAATCTTCACTGTGATTTGGTGGAGCTTTGTAAAATGCATGAGAAGACATGATTTCCTCCTTTTAACTTTTGGTGGGGGTAAGGAAGGAGAGAATCGGATTTTATCAATAAAGCAATTTTAATAATTCAAAAATACTTTATATAAATAGGTTGTTCAATGATAAATTTGAGATAAAAAAAATTATATATAATTATGTGGATAAAGAAGGATAATCACAGACTTTACGAGAACATACTTCTATCGATTTCAACCGTATCACACAACAAGCTTTTCCGGCGAAATCACAAGCAAAACTCATAAAATACATTTAGAATTCAAGTCAAATTAACAGTGGCTTTTTTAACGTCAAGTAATGATTAAGTTTACCAATAAAGTTTCTGTCAAGTGATGTTAGCTTGGTTAATTTCTTGCTTTTATTGATAGTGTGTTTGGCGCATTTAACTTGACTTTGTAGTTGGTAAAAAAAAAAGATAGACTTTAATTTGCTGGAAAGGATTCTTTTAATTAATTTATTTTTCACACTGGATTCCAATTTTAAAAATGAACTTTTCACCAACCTCAAAAAAGAAAAGTTGGTGATGACCACGATAAAAAGAGCATAAAGAAAAAAGGGGAAGGACTTGAGAAATGATACAATATACATTAAATTGATATATATCACAACGTTCTATATGTAAAGGGTTAAAAACACATTTAAAGTACTATAATTATTGAGTTTTAAAATGTCAGATGTGTGAGTTTACTATTAAACTATTACCAAATATTTATCGAAACACAGCTCAACTATTATTTTTAAATATATTTTATTTTAAAATTTTGTATCAAAACAAATTAGCACAAAAAAAGAAGGTCATGTGGGTATGGGCCAAGGCCAGGATATTTTGGGCTTTATTGTGCCGTAGCCTAGTTGCCAATATTACATTCACAGCCCAATATTGTGACCCGAAATAATAAGAAAGAAGCGAGTACACTCTCAGTAAAGCTCGAAGCCATCAATGGAGAAAAACTCTTCAGTCGGTGCGAAGCCATGGAGTCATCATCCTCTTCACCACCACCATCATCACTTTCAGATAGTACATAATTGTCCATTACATAGCTACATGTTGCAGCGCAACAAACACGTACCGCCATGCCCACTTTTTACTCCTTTTCCATTGCCGCAAAACCCTGAACAAATTACTCCGTCTTTACAGCCAGAAGTTATGAATATGCAGATTTCTGAGCCTAATGTCAGTTTTAACGATTCAGGGTAATTTTGACTCCATTAATTTATGTTACCTTGTGCTTTGATTGAAATTGGGTGAACTTTAATATTGTATTTTCTGCACAGTTTTCTGATATTGCTTGCCTAATATACGGATTCTTAGTTTTAAATAATTTATGCTTGCTAATTTTGTAACAAACTTATGTTTGCTTGCCCATTGAGAACGCACCTCAGCCAATCAAGGTGCAGGATGTTAGTTTACAGTGGTGCAGTGTCTGGTATGTAGCTAATGTCAGTCAGACTGCAATTAGATGCAGCAATGGTTGGACATGGTAAACAGAATTTAGTACTGTAATTGCATATTCTGCTTATAGTGATTGGAATGATTATCCCTGTCTGACAGGTCTATATCCATCCCTAAATCTCGTGGGGTACTGTTTACTTCCCTCCCATTTTTGTAACTGTCACCTGTGTGCTGAGCACAGGTGTTCCTGCACCCCTGAGCGGACGGGAAAGAAAGGATTTTGGGTCAGCAAGTTGAGAAAATATGTTACAAATAGTTTGTTGAAATCCGAAATGACAACTTATAGGAGCATCACTCCCCCAATCCAACAAAATACACCACATCTCTGCTTTCATGCTCTCCTACTTGTCCTGACCAGTTCTCCCAGCTGTCCTTTTCCGTTCCCATAGCCATTTTTCCTTGGCTCAGTTCCTTTGATTGTTATCACCACGAAGTTTTGTCCTTATGTATAACATCTCCGTTTCTGAACTGTGCATGTGAAGTGGTAATACTGAGTTGATTGGGGGACACAAGAAATAGGTGCAAAGTAAATAGTGATTTCTGTGCATATGTTGTTTGTCAAAGAAAACTGAAAAGAGGAGTGTTAGTGGAAATGTGGATGAAGGTTGGTTTTGGAGATAGTTTGAAGGACCGAGTGTTAGTGGGTGATAGTTGAATGGTTAATCTTGTCTATTTGTTGTAATGCTACCTTCGATTGAAACATGAAGCAGGAAGTAACTATTTTAGATTATATTGGAAGATTAAATGGACCACTGCATATAGAATGCGGACGAAAAGGATACAAAAACCACTGACATGAATTTTATGTTTTGGGAATCAAGTAGGTGTTGTAGGAGAAATTGAACCTAGCATGATTCCTTTTTGGTATACATGTGAACCTGTGCGTTTGTAAAGTTACCCTTGTGTTAGAGCTGTCAACCTTAAGGCTCTTTCCATCCTATAGATTTTTAACTTTTTTTGTTGTGTCTTCATCTGAAGAATGATGCAAAATGAAGGTGAGAACTTTGAATATGAAGGTGAAAACTTTGAATATGAAGATGAAGAAGAGGAGCCTATTTTTGTCCTTACAGATGAATGGAGAGATTTCTTTGCCAAATCTGAAGCTAAAAGGAGACAAGGTATTTTCACCATTTCCTTCTTTTTTAACTGTTCAACTTTTGCTAGAGGTGTAGTCAGTAGTGGACTAATGTATTTGATCGGTCTGCAGCGAAAAAACATGCTAAGAAGAAAGGGAAAAGTAAGATCACAAATGGGAACACAGCAGCATTGGAGGAGTGACGAATGAAACTGCTATATGTCCAGAAGATAGGACCAGGATAAACCCCTTTAGATAGTTGTAACAAAAGGTCAAATATCTTGATTCTATAGCTCAAGAAATGTGTCTTCGCTTGAGAAGATGTTTTAACTATTGAGTATCACCTGGAGAAGGACTATGAGCTGATGTAATATGCATTTTTCAAATGTTATCATCATTCTTATCATTTATCATCTACGCCTTATAATGAATATTTTCGTGACATCCTTGTTGAAGTATTGTTTCCAACTCATATTAGCTGCGGACTTGCAGTTGCTATTGTTATTTCTGCTTGGTTTTCAAGTAATTTTTATATTCAGATCATGCAACAAGATTTTGGAACTGAGTGTTTGTTATATATAGGTTGCCGATGGACGATGATTGGTTGAATACAATTTGTTGAAAATGTCTACTAATCCGTTGTTATAGTAATCTGTGCCAAGCTCACACTAATCATCAGTTTGGCATCCAAATTCACTGGAAATGTCGTTTTATCTTTTGTTGACTTGCAAATGTGAAGGAACTGGAAATGTCATAATGCTAATGTATCAGGGATTTGATGTTTATGTTCCTACCATGACCTTTCAAGATAATATACAAATAGTAACTGATTCACAGTCAAATATTTATAGATATCTAGTAAATTACTTGACAATATATCTTGCCCCGAAGCTAGGTACCCCGGTATCAACTATCTTCCAGCTAGCTTGCTCATGGCAGCATTTACCCTCTCATCTGAGATTGATCTATGGCCGTCATAATAATCTAGTATCTCCATTGCAATATTTTTCACCTGTCAACATTGAGAACTTCATTAAAAGATGGTTGGCGTCCAAGCAGCGACTTGACAGTAAAATGAGATATAGTATATGTATGGTCTTGTTATATTTTGAAATCATTGGCAAAGAGTTAAGCTTGCATACATACCACATTCATATCAACTCGAAGCTCCTCAAACCACGCAGTAGTTTCTTTATCTTTCAGCACACTTGCAATATATATGCAAGCTAAAGTAATCAAATGTGGTGGATGAATGAGAATTAGGTCCATCTTATAGGTGTCATTTATAAGTCCCCTAAAAGAAAGCAGAATGCAGAAGTTATCGAGATTAAAACAAAATAAATGTAGAATTTTGGAGGAGACATATTATGGGAAGTAATATTCTATAGTAATCTGACGAATTTCGCAACTAGAAGTCAAAGATATGAAAGCCTCGGAAAGTTTCTTACCAAGTCAATTGAGTTGCATCATTCATGCCGGCATCCTGAAGGAACCTGCAAAATTGAGTTAAGAATCAAGTTGCTGAGAGAAATTGATCAGCTACACAAGGAGGTGCCTAGGAGATACTTACTGTGCTAATGAACGATATGGATGATATACGACTAAGTAATAGTTTAGGGCTTCCAGAACTTTCATCTCCATGTCTAGTATGTCTTTTATTTCATATTTATACTTCTCATCCGAATCTGCAGAAGCAAGTCAGAAAAGCCAACGTCTTGCATTAGAAATTAACTAAATTGGGTAAGTAGAAACAACAGGATATCACAGAAGTACTTTGTCATTGTAATCAAAGATGTTCTTACATAATTTCTTGATGTAAAATACAAGAAGTCGGGCCTGCACAGTGCTTTCTTCTGCTTTTGATGCCAAATACAAGCAAGTTGGAGCAACCAGACGAGGATCATACTCGGTCATACTTCTCCTATGGACAAGTAAAAAGATGGTTAGAAAGAACGATAAAGTGGAATGGTGGTTCAAGGTGAAGCAATTGTAGGCCTGTAGAGCATTAGTGTGAATTTAAAAGTTTCAGTTTTGAAACAGAAAGGATACAGAGAGTCCAAATTAGAGAATTTTCCTTCTGATTCGTATGGCTTTGTCCAGGATCTACTCCAGTTTAGAGTTTGCACAGGATCCCAAACATAAATATAAAACTGGTCCAAAGAAACAGCGCTGAGGGTTCTTTTTTACTCTTTAAGATAGCATTTCTTTAACATACGAAAGCATATGATGTCATGTTTATCAGTTATGTATGCAACTGCAATTTATTGCACACATATTTCTTTTTATGTAAGAATAGCTACAGTGGTCCATCCAATATCCTTTCCAAATCAGCTTTACTTATTTTACTTAATTTGCTTTGGTTTAGCAAAGTCATTTGCTGATAAAGTGGTTCTACCATAACATAATAAATCACAATTTGAGTGGCCATATCTGATGCTTGCACATATCTGTGAGGAATTTCTGCAGAAAAGTGACTCGGCAGATTCTCTCCCAGACTGCACAGAATTTCCCCATCCAGAGCTGCATCGGAACATTATTGCCACTAATACAAATCTTCTTTTCTCTTAAGCTCTACATTTTCTTTTCACAGCACTGATTCACTTGTCCTCTTGTATGATTTATTTAAGCAAGCTAAAGAATTTATGCAATGTCTTTAAGAACCATTACTCCATTAGTTCATCATAATATTATAGGCTTAGAGCAATATGGATTTATGTCTGGGTGGTGGCTTGTCGGATTAAAAGTTTGAACTACCTCTATGCCAACAAGCTGAAGGTCCATTTAATAGGCGGACTTTTCTGGTTAGGTAGATAATTTACAGAGAATTATGTATTGTCCTCCTAATACCAAAGATGGCATGATATACCTGACATATACGCGTCTCATGTATGTAATTGCGGTAGCAACAACCCTGGAAATAAAAACCATATATAAGATACTAGATTTCTGGAAGTAGCAAAAACAGGTGTTTTAAGAAGGAAAATTACATAAACACACATTGTCAGTTCCTTTCTGTGAAAGTTATCGAGATACATGTAATAAACACTCAGGTACAAAGAGCAATCTTGAAAAGTTTGTGATGAAAAAAGCATCTATGTCGATAGGTAATCCACATATTAAGCAGAAGACACACTTATGTAATATCATGGCATTGACCTTCCTCTATAGTCAAGCAAGTCCTCTAGCTATTAAACAGCAACAAGCTAGTAGATTCTTCCCCCTTATTCACATCCAATTAATGGAAAAGATAAATGAACACATAATTTCATGCAGTATATATCTTCCTACAGGAAAATAATAGGTCTAAACAAATATTAATCATGTCAACGGAAACAAAATCGAATAAGCATCTATTTTTATGACCAAATAGCTCTTCCATTTTTTCAGCTAAAGGTTATGAACCTCACAGAAACATTATGCTCTTAAAGAGACAGTGATGCTGATGAAGGAACATAGGAACTACCTATTACTTATATCAGAAGTTTTACAAGAAGACGAGGAGAGAAAACAGACCTTTGTCTCACTTTCACATTTTGAGCCAATCTTGCAACATCTGCGAGGGACAGAAAATTTAACAAGTCAAACAAGATGGAAAATGGTAATTAAATTGTCCTGTGCAAGATTATGATTGATAATAAGGAACTGCAAGCCAGGCAACCAGTCACATATACATTAAACAAAACAAGTAAAGCACACATTCTGAGAAGTTTGAAGGCATGCAGAATATGTTCGACAAAAGATAAGTGGGGCTCAAGAGGTATACTGAAGGTTTCAATTGTTTCAACTATGCCAGACGATTAAATTTAACTGCAAATACCAGTGTGTACATCAGTAAAACTGGCCATATATCATGCAGAAAGGTGCACATTTTGATGCTGCCACTGATTGCCGAAAAAAGTATTTTGCCTATGTTACATACTACAGAAAAATATTTTTGTTAAGTTGGGTTTTTATTTCAAAATGTATCATTCTGACATTACAATAGATCGTGAATCAGAGCTTTATCCATTTTTGTTGACTGAATTTCCAATCCCATAGCCGACAGCCTCCTTCAGAAGAGATATAATATCCGGTATATTCATACCAAGGGATCAGGCACATCAGCCTTCCTAAAGTACATTTTTGAGCTCTCAATTACCAGCAGTTTTAATTCTTCCAAAACAAACCTCCAAGCCTAAATATAGTTTCTATGCAGGCAATAGATCTTAAATGACAGTTTTAATAGCTTGGCGTAATCAATGAAAATTCTAAACTAAATGGCAGTGACAACGTAGAAATTTCCCATTTCTGATCTTGAGCAATGGTATTAATTTCTTTCATAATAAGAAATCATCGGATTCCACTAGAAATAGCTGAACACGAAAGAAATTCTTAATTGTAGGACAGTGAAAACTACTCATTACGAGAGCTAAGAGCTGGGTCCGCCCCTCTACCCACATCAGGATATAAGAAGATTTGAAAACAGACAGAAGTTACATAAATAACAGATTTTATGTCTAGAGCAGAGTTCGAACTCATGACGTGCGCCTAACAAACGCATCATGCATGACGCTCTTACCACTAGACCAACGCCCTGGGGGCTCAGTATATAAGACATTTATAGCTATTATTATTATTATTATTATTGGAGAATTGTGGACCAAATATATCCTATGACAATAAAGACACAAATAACAGATCTTTAGCCAAAAATCTGGACAAAATGAAACTTAAGTCTAAAAAAACACAAAACGAGAAACAACTCAAAACTGAGATACTTTTGTCCGCTTTGTACTTAAAGATGCACTTGCTGGTGCTCTTTCATGATCATAAAAATCACTAAACCTACTGATAAGAAACAGAAAAACAGTCTCTTCATCAAATATGGTAGGAAATGATAAGAGTTTCACTACTCATCCATATAACCTAGTAAATAACACATACTCAATAGAGCAGAGTTCGAACTCATGACATGCGCCTAACAAACACATCATGCATGACGCTCTTACCACTAGACCAACGCCCTGGGGGCTCAGTATATAAGACATTTATAGCTATTATTACTATTATTATTATTGGAGAATTATGGACCAAATATATCCTATGACAATAAAGACACGAATAACAGATCTTAAGCCACCGCTTTGTACTTAAAGATGCACTTGCTGGTGCTCTTTCATGATTATAAAAATCACTAAACTTACTGATAAGAAACGGAAAAACAGTCTCTTCATTAATTATGGTAGGAAATGATACAAGTTTCACTACTCATCCATATAATCTAGCAAATAACACATACTCAATATGGTAATTACTAAACAAATCAGAGTAAATCTAACATTTTGAAAAGGGGCATTTTAGGAATCGTATGAACAAGAAGAAAAAGAAGATGAAGCTAACAAGGTCGCAAAAAAATCAAGGAAGCAGCAAACACAATTATGTGAAAACATAATGCGATATAATCTGCAAACTCCAGTAAGTGATTAATACCCTTGAAAAATTCAAATTAACCTAAAAAGCTATATACATTACGCCTGATTCCCATAAGTAAAATCAACCTTGAAAACACCCCCACACATACACCTACTAAAATCTGAATAAATATAACCCCTGAAGCCATACTTTTAACAATAAAATAAGTCCAATGCTAAGAATCACAGAATAAACCCTTGTGGTTCGAGCCTTAACCGAACACGCACATAGGGTTAGATTAGTGCTAAGAATCATAAAAGCTGAATCCATTTAATTAAATAATTGATTATGGGAATTACAATTGGACATATGCAACTTGATGAGCTTGAAATCATCGAGAGTGATGCCTCTCTCTTTATCCAACTGATGCACCACATCAACCTCTTCTTGGTCCAAAAGTTCTTTGCTGCAAACAACAATAAAACTTCAAAACAAGAAAGATTAAAGACGAAAAAAGAATAGCTTTTATACATACTACTGAGAAGAAATCCAGAAATTGGCAGCCATATGATGAATTGAGAAACACCCAGAATCACAAATTGGATTTGAGCTACTTTAACTTGTACGAATTCGACAACTGCTCCAGATTCTTCTTCTTCTTGTTTCCTTTTTCCCCCTGTTTTTGAGAGAGAAGAAAAAAATGGATAAACATCAGCTCTCTGCTTTATTGGGCTTCATGACTATTAGCTTTATAAGGCCCATGTAGTAGTTGATCCAACCCAACATCTCTAGCTGTTGCTGTTATGGATGTTGGCCTTTATTGGACACCGTGTAATAAGAGAAAATTGTATATAATAACATATAGTTTGATTTAACTGTACCTCATATCAAATTGTTGTTATTTTGCCTCTTTTGGTGAATTTCGCTCGCCACTTTTGTTTTCGCTGCCAGTTTCTCTCGCTTTATACAAATACAAATGTATAAAATTTGTTTATGTTTGTATAAACAGAGAAAAAATTGTACATATATTTTCGTTTTCCTCTCTTAGATTTCGCTAGCACCTCTGACTCGCTTCTTTCACTTTATACAAATACAAATGTATATATTGTTTTTGTGCTCGCTTCTCTCACTTTTACAAGCACAAATATATATATTGTGTTTGTACTGTATAAAACAAGAGAAAATTATATATACAAATACAACTGCATATATTTTTGTCCTATACACTTGCGGTTATACAAATACAATCTTCCCTTATTCAATTTTCTTTTGTCTTTCTCTCTTTATACAACACATATTATATAAATGATCTTCTGTATATATATATCGAAATAACAGACTATACAACTATTTTCTTTTATATATGTATAGCGAAATATACATATTTATGTTTGTTATAGAACTCATTTTTTTTATATTTGCTTTATGTGAAAATTGTAATAATAAATGATCCTTTTTTTTTCTGTTTCAAATTATGAGTTTTATTTTAGTCTAACATACTTTCTTTTAATAAAGTTTAAATGTTAGAAAAAGGTTGCAATTTTTAATTATTTGACTACTGGACTTCCAAATTGCGAAGTTTTAAAGAAATTAGGGATGAAATTTATCAAAAAAAAAATGAAGTTATAACAACGAGTGTGATTTGTTTAGTTTTTATATGTAGTTTTTAAAGAGATACAAACGAAAGAATATAACAATCTAAAGGATCACAATAGTTAAAGAAATTGGTCAAAGGTTAAGATAGTGTATAATTTACATAAATTTCATATTGTTAAGAGATATTTGCATTATTTTTTTACTCTTTTTTAAATTTTAAAAATTTCTCAAAATTTATGAATTTTGGATAAATCACTGGACTACCAAATATATAGATGAAGGATGTATAAGTGAGAGGAATACAGATGTATTAGCAATAGGGATGTGACGTATCTAAGAGAGTATTTTTAGAGTATTTTTTGAATAATAGAAAATTTTAATGATTATAGTAAAATAAGTTGTATATTTGGATAATTTTTCCGAAAATAAAATAGGAATAAAAATCTAAAAATACAAAGAAAAACATAAAAATAAATTCATGAAGTCTAAGGGATCACGTAGGTGAGGGACTCCAAAGTTTCGAAAAACACACAATTGATGGTCAATGTGTGAAAATTACATCGAGACCCTCAAATTTGGTCAGATCCTAAAAAGTTTATGCTTAATAAATTCATGAAAAATCATAACGAGATATCTAATCAAAATTTTAAATTTTTTCTGTTTAATTCTGATGGACGATCTTGACCATCGATTACTTTTGCTATGCAAGTGACACACTTAACACTTGCTAGGTTGCTACAAATTAAAGTTTTAGTTTTAGTACATTAGAGGACTTATTTGAAGGCAAATCCATTAGAGGTATTTGTAATGCCTCGTTTGGCACCTATGCTTTACCCAACATTAGTCCGAGCTCTAATACAAGCTCTAAATGACATAAAAAATAAAATTGATATTTACAAGTAATATTAGAGTCCACCCTTGAAATTCCTACACATGGTGTATTAACCAAGATTTTTCCCAAGAGATTAATTTAAGCAAAAGAGAATATTTTACTATGAGAATTAAGAGGAAGAAAAAAAAAAAGAGATTAAAGCGGTCTGCAAAAAAATAAAAAGAGGTTAAATAATTTTTTTTCTGTTTTAATTTATTTATCTGATCTTAATTTTGATACGGAGTTCAAAAATAAAGAAATTTTTTTTGAATCTTGTGATTTTAAATTAAAAATATATAAAATTTATTAAATGATATCATGGTCTTAAAAAGTGACGCAAAAGTTAACATTAAAGAATTAACTCTAGTTTTATAAATTAACTAAAATAAAATAAGACAAATAAATTAAAACGAACGAATATAAACTTATGTATACTGTCGTTTTTCCTTGTTGTTCCATTATCCTCTTCGTTCACTTTTACTTCGCAATATTTTGCTCCTTCCCATTCTGTACTTGAATTTTAAGTTTTAAAAGTAATGACACAAAATTAGAAGAAAAAAAAAGAGGAGAAGTCACGAATTCATTTCAAAATTAGGTGAATATTTAATTTAGGTTAACAACTAATTAACCACATATATGAGGTAAGATGAATGTGATCCCACATTTCTTAACCAATAATTTGAATTAAAACTCTGTGAATAAAAAGAAATTTCAATAAGAATATTTTTGTTACGTAATACGAATGTTGAACTAATCACGTTGGTAAATTTTGAGTGACAAATTAAAAATATGTATGAGAAAATTTGGTGAACAAACATAGACTTGGTTCAATTACAATATTATTTGTTGCTAATTATTCTCTAATAATTTCCTATAGTCAAAATTGACTTTCTTGAATATATTAAAAAAAAATCAAATTAAAAGGATTTACATTTGTACAGTCAAACAATATCTATTTTAGCCCAAACAAGTGACTCTATATTTTACTACGTTAATTATTTCTAGTAAAATAATTTGTAATTATATGAATATCTTTATTTTCTTGAAATCAGAAATTCAGGGGATTAAATTCTTAATATATTTCTGACAATATTTCAATTCCTAATTTTGTAATTTCATCTTTCATCATTTCAATTTTTTTTTTTTGTTCAATTAATTGTTGACCAAAAGAAAAAAAAGGACCAAATTTGACTCTTATAATGTTGGGAGATGACCAAAACACACCAAATCCGTTAGAGGTAATAATTTAATTCCTTATATAATCTGTTACACCAAAAAAAAAATCCTAATTAGGAAAATATTTTAATAATCCACGTGTTCATTTTTAATTGGATATACTACGTAAACTAGCTACTGTAACCCTCCACGCTGTATTTTCTCTACAAAAAAAACTCCGCCATTTTCAATGCATTAAAAAGCTGTCTGAAAGAAAACGTTACAGCTTTTTTTTTCCATAAAATTCTTAGAAAAAAAAGTATAAAGAAAAAACTCCGGCGGTCGGAAAATGGGTCAAAAAGGGTATCAATCGCCGGCGAAGAAAGTGTTGTCATGGATTCGAAAAAAATCGAAGAAAGTGAAAATCTTTTTGGGTTTAATCACATCAATCATTCTATTGGTGACTCTTAAGTTAGTTGTTCATGATCACAACCTCTTCTTTGTTATAGCTGAAGCTATTCATTTGATTGGACTTTTAGTTTTGATTTACAAATTGACAACACTCAAGACTTGCTCTGGTAATTTTTATTTTTCTGTTTATCTGAAAAAAAAAGAGATTTTTTTTCTGTGTAGTTTCCATTTGATTGGGGTTTGTGTTAAATTAAACTGGAAAAATTGGATTGTTTTGTGTTACTCTGTTACTGCTCTGTGCAAAAAAAAATGAAAATTGTTTTGTGTGTATAAAGGTCCTTTTTTTTCTTCTAGATGTTTCGATTTTCCACCTTTAGATGGGACATCTTGGATTTTGGGAATTAGGATATTCTTGTGGGGATTTGGGAGAACTAAAAAAAATGGAATTTTGGCATTTTAAATTATTTTTTTGGGCTATGGGAATGTAACCCACCTCTACTATTTCGTGTCCTTAGATGAGTTTTTTTTTTATAATTAAATATACGAAAATTCCTTTTAATAATAAATGGCACGGACAGATATCATTACATGATTTTTGTTTATTTTGATATCATTTTGCGTGTTGTAAATCCTTTAATTACTTTAATCTTTTTAGGGGTTGTCTGATTGGAAATAAATTGTCTGAAGGATTGCATAATTTTTCAACCAAACATACGATAAAATAATGCTTTCATCTTATCCTTGTACTGTTAAATTGTAGCTTTAACTGAATACTCCTATTGATACGACTAGACTATAAATCTTGGCAGATATATTATTGACCTTTCAGCCATATGTAAGTAAAATATAGATTAAAAATATATATTTAGTGGTAATTAAGATTAATTGTCGCTAATAATATTTTTAATGTAAAGCTAGAGGTATTGTCATGGATTATTCTAATGCTAAATGAAAGAGGGTGTGTAATTCTTTAAGTAATTTTTAAAAGGGTGTGTCAGATTTGCTTCATATGTATGTCAAACTGAACTTGGCTACTAAACAAGAGGTCATTCTTTTCTTTAGACAGTTACTTGGTGACATCAAAAAGATGGTTCCTTTTTCTCAAGAAAACAGAAAGTACTTGACGAGTTTAATTTTAACTTTAATGTTATAACAATGCAAATCTTTTTCATTCCCAATTACATGTTTGTTCGATTGTTTGATGCGCCTTTTGTACTCCTACAGTTCGATAGATGTAAGGTAGTATGTCATCTGTATGTTCCTGTTGTATGAAATGTGTTACTTTGGAACCTTGTTATTACAGGCAGGATGCAAGAAGTCCAAATTGTTTCACTGAACTTGTTAGATTGTCATTCTTTTTACTGGACCTGAAGAAGAGATCATTTTTTTCACCATTCGTTTCATATGCATTCTTCGCCTGTTTTGTTAGGTCTTTCATTGAAGACTCAAGTGCTTACAGCTATATTTTTGGCGGTAAGACTATACTGTAGTTTTCTCATGGAAGCAGATATCCACACTGTGCTAGATTTTATCACCCTTGTGGCAACAGTGTGGGTCATTTATATGATGAAGTTCAAGCTGAAGGCATCCTACATGGCAGAACTGGATAACATGCCCTTATACTATCCGGTACACACAACTTTCACCTACGACTCTTTTCCGTTTGATTGTTGTTAATCAAATTTTACATTCTGCAAATTTCTTGAGTAATTAATTAAGCTTTTATAGAGCAGTTATTTGTTTTGGTTAGAAATGTTATTTCCATGTTTTATTGTGTGATTCCATTTACTCTGTCCATGATGAAACTTTGTTTATTTATATTGTTTTCTCCTACACACAATCACTTCCCTTATCTAGACTTCTATTCGTTCCAAAAGAAACATTTATTGTTCAAGCTTTGAAGGGAAGATTATGAACTTGTTGTTGGGAGCCGGGAGGTAGCAGGTATTTCATGGAATTAGTCGAGGTGTGAGCAATCTGGCGTGGACATCATAGTTATAAAAAAGTAGTTTAGATAGCATGTACCATGAAATTAGTTGAGGTGTGCGTAATCTGACCTAGACATCATAGTCATAAAAAAAGTATTTTAGACAACTAAATATGGAGCCTGGAGTCTTTTTACTGGCTTTCTGGAATTAAATAGAATTCCCGGCCTTCTCAGCAATGTTATTTCTACTAAGCTGTATGATACCAGACAGTGACATCTCTGTAGTGAGTAAGTCCCTTGTAAATGATCTCTTAAAATTAGAATTGCTTCCTGATATTGCTTTTGAACCATGCCACTCATTTTTGCACAGATAGTTCCCGCCGCAGTTTTAGCCTTCTTTGTCCATCCTACTACAAGCCATATTCTGATAAACCGAATGCTTTGGGCTTTTTGTGTATATCTGGAATCCGTCTCTGTACTGCCTCAGCTTCGCTTGATGCAGAATGTTCAGGTTCATGTCTCTTCTTTTCCAAATGATTGAGAAGAAAATCATGTCTTCTTCTTAAACTTGTCTTTTAATGAACAAAAAACTAACAGTATGTTCCGTTTTCTCATTTCAGATAATTGAGCCATTTTCAGCTCATTATGTTTTCGCACTGGGCGTTGCAAGATTCTTGGGTTGTGCTCATTGGATTATTCAGGTTAGTTTTGTACATTGTAGTGTTATCTTGTTCTCCATAACTTCTTGAATTAATAGCAGCTGTTTCAGCTCAGCTGAACTCATTTGTCTCGAGTCTCAACTCGAACTATGTATAAATTATCAATTTTTTTTAATAAGATAACATTCTGAGTTCATTGACTATCAAATTCAGCTCTACAAACACTTAAGTCCAAATGGCAACAACATACACATTTCTCCATTTTCAGCACAGATCTAAAGCTATATAATTCCGTACTTGACAGTTACAACTATTTCCATACAGGTTTATGACACTGCCGGAGCATATATTTACTTGGCTGGACGTGGTTATCTCTGGATACCTACCGTCTTTTTGGCAGAAATGGTTCAAACGTTCATCTTGGCCGATTTTTGTTATTATTATGTAAAAAGGTGAGTCATTTAGTCCACAACTAATTCCAGTATGGCTATTCATATGAATCCAAGTTTTTAACATATCATATTTCTTGATTTGCAGTGTCATGAGTGGCCAGTTGATTGTTCGCCTGCCAACGCCGGTGTAATACACTAAGAGACTGTGACATTTTGTTAATTCCTATGTAGAAGTAGAAGTTTTTGTTGTGGAGATTGGATAGAGATCATGACTGGAACAAACTCCATTTTGAAGAATTTGCACAACTTTGTTCTTTTGACGAAATTTTGAGTAGTCTTTTCAGTTGAATTTTATCCGCAATTAACATTTTGCATCAAACAATATTAATTATCTCCAAGTGTTTTTAATCAAGAAACAATATGTACTAGTTAACTATTATTAACCAAAATTCTGTTGGCCGGTAGTATGCCATCTGAATTTAATCGGGGTTTAATGCAAGCTCCGGACACTGGGTGGAAACCCAAAAAATGAAGTTGGAAAAGCATCACAGTTTGGGCCTGATGGCTCTTGAAAATTCTATTTAGAATCCAAAATAGATTGTGATTTAATTTAGTAGGATTTCAACGTGGATATCGAACCGTAAGTCTTAATTTTTTTCAAGTGTCTCATACAACTGACATGAGCACATCTGTTTTGATCTTCTTTGTATATATTCGTTCCAAAAGATTAATCTTTTTTTTTCTGGAAAACACAAGACAATCTAGTTTGTTTTTTTTACTGTAAGATGATGGAGCTTTTGAGGAAGATGAAAATGAAATTGGATTACACAAAGAAAATTGATCAAATCTGGAATTTGAGATGATAAGATGTTAATATAGTGACAAATAGAGTAATACATAGAGAAATGATCTACTAATTTCCAAACACATAATTTGTAGTAAAGGCAAAATTGATGCTTTTGTCAGTGAATGTTGTATTTATGATGAAGCTATAAAAAGCTTGAATCTTTCTTTGAACCAAGATTACTTTTTTGGGTTTCCCATTTGATGTCAGGATATCATATCCAGAGTTCGAATCCGAGACCTCTGATTAAGGAGGATCAACTTGTCTTTGAACCAAGATTCATATGTAAATGATCAGAATCTTGCAGGTATGTTTTGAAGTTGCTTATGTTTTAATTCGCCTTTATATGGCATGTTGTGTATTAATGTGAGTACTTTTTTGCAGCTTGAAACAATATGAATAATGATGAAAGGTAGGAGACTTGAGTCATACATAAGTTTGACCATGAAAATTAATTCAGATTTTGTAAATCTGATCTTATTTTCACACTCTTATAAGAGCTTCTCAATGAAAAAAGTTGGAACTTTTATTTCTCATATATATTTAAAAAAAAAAAAAAAGGGAGACTCAGAAAGAGCTTAACGGAGATGGGGCAAAAAGGGTATCAATCACCGGTGAAGAAACTGTTGTCATGGGTTCAAAAGCAATCGAAGAAAGTGAAAATCATTTTGTTTATCGTCACGCTGATTACTCTATTGGTGACTCTCAAGTTAACCGTTCACAATCACGACTACTTTTTTGTTATGGCTGAAGCTATTCATTTGATTGGGCTCTTGATTTTGATTTACAAATTGACAACCCTCAAAACTTGCTCTGGTAATTTAATTTCATTCCTGAATTTTTTTTCATTTTTTGTAGATCTGGAAAAAAAAACTTTCATTTCATTGTGCTTTGTGTTAAAATCTTCAAGATTTGGTTTGAATGTTTATCCATACCTAATTTAGTATCAAATTTATGTATGTCAAATAGAACGTTGCTGCTATTAGTCTATTACCACTGGACCAAGGTGTTTGTTCAATTGTTTGATGCGCGATTTTACTCCTGATTAACTTTGATAGGTTGTAAGGTAGAACGCTCTTGTTGTATGAAATGTGTGTCTAGTCTAAGATCGATTTTATTTTTACTTGTTGCAGTTGTTAGATTGTCATTTTTTCACCTTTCGTCTGATAACTTTTACTCATCCTGATTTGTTAGGCCTTTCATTGAAGACTCAAGTTCTTACAGTTATATTTTTGGCTGTAAGAGTATACTGTAGTTTCATCATGGAAGGAGATATCCACACTGTGTTAGATCTTATCACCCTTGTGGCAACATTGTGGATTATATATATGATGAAGTTCAAGCTAAAGACGTCGTACATGGCAGATCTGGATAACATGTCCATACACTACGTGGTATATACAATTTCATCCACAACTCTTTTACGTTTGATTGTTGTTGAATCAAGTTCTCAATCTGCTAATTACTTGAGTAGCTAAGATAGAAGATTATGAATCTGTTGTTTGCCAGGAGGTAACATGTATGTCATGAAATTAGTCGAGATGCACATAAGCAGCAGTGTAAAGAGCCTGAAGACATTTTACTGATTTCAGATCAATATATAGTCAATTGATACTGCTAATTAGTAGAGTTTATATTCTCGTCTTACTGAATGTAGTTGCAGATATATGTGATACAAGACAATTACATTGCATAGATAGTTCCTTATAAACGATTTTGAATTGTTCTTGACAGATAGTTCCTGCCGCGGTTTTGGCCTTTTTTGTTCATCCTAGTGTGAAAATTTATGTTCTGATAAATCGAATGCTTTGGGCGTTTTGCGTGTATCTGGAATCTATATCAGTGTTGCCTCAGCTTCGATTGATGCAAAATGTCCAGGTATTCATATCTCCATTTCTTTTCTCAAACAAATACTGAGAAGAAAATCATTTTTCTTAAAACAAAAAGTTAACAATGTTTGTCACTTGCATTTTAGATACTTGAGCCATTTTCAGCACATTATGTTTTTGCATTGGGCATTGCAAGGTTTTTGGGTTGTGCTCATTGGATTATTCAGGTTAGTTTTCCTGTTCTACGTACACATTTTCTCCATTTTAATCGCTAATATAGTCTCCAAACTCGAAAGTCATCACAACTATTTCTATACAGGTTTATGACAATGTTGGGTCACCAATTTTTTTGGATGACCATAGTGTCTTATGGATACCTATGGTCTTTTTAGCAGAAATGGTTCAAACTTTCATTTTGGCTGATTTCTGTTATTATTACATAAAGTGGTAAGCCATTTAAATCGTGATTAATTAAAGTATTTATATGAATTTAACTTCAATCTATTTAAAAATTATTCGTTTTTGATATGCAGTGTTATGAGCGGCCAGTTGATTATTCGTTTGCCAGTGCCGGTGTGAAAGGCTGTAATATGATTTTGTTGAATTAATTCTAAAGTTATAATGTCATAATGAGTTCTTATTTTTGTGACTGAATCGGTATTTGCTTCTTCTCTCTTCTTTTTTGACGTTTACATTATATAGTCAGTGTTTTATTGATAATTTTCAACTATAGTTGATATTTATTTAAATACTGTTGGACAAATTTATTCAATTTTTTAGACTTTTCCAGAACAAAACCAACCTTGCGTCATTATACGCCACGTGTAGATTTCAACACAAATTCCTAAGAAAAAACATCAAAATCTATTTCTCCTCCTTGATGGAATAGAACTATTCAATCCCTTTTCTGTTCAATCTGACACGTTTCGCAAAACTATAACGTCAGTAAAACATGCCGCCGTTACAATCCACGTGGCAGTCAAAGAAACATGCTGGTAAAAGCCTTGGTTAAACGCTGGATTAATTGATCATACGTGTCATGAAAACTCTCACGTCATCGTTTCTTTTCACGCCACGTGGCCTTCTTCACTACATTTACTGCTTAAATAAATACATCTGTTTATTTTTATCTTCTTTGTATATCATTTTTGTTTAGAAAAAAAGAAAAATACAAGAAAACAAGGTAAAAAAAAAGATGTTGGAGCATATGAATGGTAATTTTGAGGAAGATGAAAATGGGATTGGATTGAGTTTAAGCTTATCAATTGGAGGAAATTACACAAAGAAAGATGATCAAATCTGTAATAATTCAAATGATAAGATGTTAATAGAGTGTCAGAGATCAAAAAAGAGGGCATTACATAGAGAAATGATGGAGAATGAAGAATTAGTTAGTAGAAAAAGCAAAATTACTACTTTTGGTGATGACGATGTAAAAAGCTTGAATCTTTTTGTTAATCAAGATTCATGTTTAAAGGATCACAACCTTTTAGTTCCAATTTGCGATCATCGGAATGTTGAGAAAAGGGAATTGACGAAGAAAAATTGTGGAGGTTTTAGAATTTATAACTCGAATACGAGTTATGATCAATGTAGAAGTAGTGAGTCGAATGGATCTACGATTACAGAATGCCAAAGTTCGTCTCCTAAAGGTAATCTATTTATTTAATTTAGAATTTATTACTAATAACTGCATAACTCTGATCAGCTATCTTTCGCTCTGTGTGGGTTTGCAGGTACAAGTAGCGAGCAATGTCGCGCTCATCAAAGACGAGCAGGACCAAAAAACAGAGGAAAAGAGGAATTGTGGCATGATTCAGTTGCTTTAACGAATGCCGTGTGTTTCAGCAACGGGTAATGGCCCAAATGGGAAGACGATAGATGGATTATTGTGCAAGTATGATAACAAAATGGAGATTAAGATAGTTTGTGTTTGTCATGGGAAGTCATTCACCCCTTCTCAATTTGTGGAGCATGCTGGGGGTGTTGATTTATCTCAACCTTTAAAACACATCACTGTAACTCCCCCCTGTTTTTGATGATCTTTTAATTACTTATATTAAATCGAGATGGGCTTGAATGAAACGATATGGATCAAAGATTTACTTATATTAAATCGAGATAGGCTTTTTATTTCTTCTTGTGGTTCAAGATGAATTCTTTTAGTTGTGTCATTGAATTTTGAAAGCAGCATAACCCCACAATTTGCGTGAAATGGAAGCAATAAACAAAAATAAGCCCAACAAGTGGACGCAAAAAAAAATAAAATAGAAGAGTACAAGTACTACAAATAATTGAACGAAGAAAAAGGTAAGTACCACCAACAAGCAATGTCCAAGATTCTGCAAGTTGCAACTAACACCACCAAATAATGTTAGGGTCCTTCCATCGACCAATTGAAATTTTATTACCATTTTGTTATAAATTAGTTGGACAAACAAAATTAGTCTGGATAATTATAAATTGATGGTGAGATAAATTTGAGTTTAAATAGTTACACATTCAATCGATGATAAATTATAGGTCAACTTTCCAATCATATATTTTTTAAAATTGTATAATTAATAGGGTCAAACTTTTCCAAATCATATATTTTTATTTTAAAAATTTTTTCGTGTCAAAACGTGATATATAAATTGAAATTGAATATAAATTGAAATAGAAGAACAGATGAGTATTAAGTGGAATTTACCAGTTTTGAATAATCTTTTATTTGATTATATAATTAAATTTAAATACACTTTTAATTAGTTACATCACATAGAAGTGCTCTCAATTTGAAAAATATTAAAAATATCTCTAAACGAGAATTTTAAAAAATTATGCTTTACTCTTCATATAAGATTAGATATATATAAATTAAAATTTCAGTCATATTAAAGCGATTAATGGTTGAAGGAAATGTTCTATTTGTAAACTTTTGTACTTGAAGACATTGCAAATATATATTAAAACCCTAAAAACCTCTGTTTATAATGTTAACAATCAGAATAAATTAAAATAAATTAGAACTAGAAACTTCACCAACTACTAGATCTTAATTAAATATAAATAAGCAATATCATAATTAATAAATTTTAAATGATTTAACTTTTCTGCTCTATCTTAAATTATTATTCATACTTCAATTTCAATTACTAACAAAGTCTAATTCTAATTAAATATAAATAAGTAATATCATTACTAAAAATCCTAAACGGTTTAAAATTTGTATTCTAACTTTAAATTATTATTCATATTCCAATTTTAAATACTAACAAATCCTAATTAAGCATAAATAAGTAATGTCATAACTAACAAATTCTAGAAAACTAAAATTTGTACTTTTAACTTTAAATTATTATTCCTACTCCAATTTGAAATTGTTATTCCAACAATATTAATCCAAAAATGAATTTATTTTCGTACCAAATTTCTATCAATTCTAATAAAGACATAAAAATCTGCTTGATTTACTCAATAATAAATACTAAAATTAGTAAAATATTTAATTTAATTTAATATATTTTTCCAGCTAATCCTATGATTAATAAGTACTCCTAAATCCTAATACTAGTAGTACCACTACTTATTTTTTGTGTGTATCTATATATATAAAATAATAGGAGACACCACATCACGTGTATAAAATCCTCTTTGGAACCCTTTCTCTCTCCTTTTTCCACTCTCTCTCTCTACTCGCGCCTCTTTTTCGAGATCCACCACTCTCTCTACAGCAAAACCCTAGAACTCAAACCTTCCTCCTCCGCATCTAGAGAGAGAAACACACGAAGAGAGAGAAACTCACCGACTGTACATCAAGCTTTCTCTCTTTCCACTTATCTGATCCGATATAAATCCAGGTATGAATGTTTAATTTTTTTGAATTAAGTTTTTTTTTCTTCACGTATTCGTTCATGTAAGATCACGAGAACAGAGGATTTGAGTTTTTTTTGTGGTTAATTTTGTGTTTAGTGCTATAAACAGGAGTTCGATTGATTGACGATGGCAGCGGAAGCAGCAGTAGCAGTAGCGGCAGTAGCACCAGTTTCTGCTCAAGTTGTACGTATATAAATCATTGCATTTAGTTTGTTTTGCTTTGAGCTGTGGATATTGATTGAGTTCGATATGTTTGTGTATATAGGTTGCGAATGCTTTTGTGCAGCAATACTATCATATATTGCATCATTCGCCGGGGCTTGTATTCAGGTTTTACCAGGATATAAGCAAGCTTGGACGTCCTGAAGAGGATGGATCCATGGGTATCACTACGACAATGCAAGTAAGTGCAAGTGAACTGATCTTCGCATATACTATGGTCCATGTTCTTCCCTTTTCCCCTATATTGATTTTGTTGCAGACTTGTGAACAATGTGCCTAAATATTTGTTTGTTGGATGAGGGAGTTGATTGTGTGAAGAGTTAAGGATTTGAAATCTGTTGAATTTTTTTTATTGCTTGTAGGTAAAGATCCGTTTTTAGATGAAATTTCATTAATCATCATCATTGTTAGGTGATCAGATGTAAAAAATACATTTTTCTAATTAATATCTGCATATTTTAACGGAAAAAATGGTTCTTTATCCAAATGCCTTAATTTGAATTTGCACATATATTGAAAAGCCTGAAACTGGATTATTGTTCTTAGTTGAGAGAGCATATTCTATATCGACATTTAGTTTTATGTAGAATGATGTAGAGTGAGAAGTTATACTTATGGGCTTTGTTAGCTTTGGAGTTGTGTATACTTGAATTTAGATGCAGGCCTTTTGGGTTTGGAGAAGATTTAATTACCTTTGAATGACTGAAACTAGTCAAACTTGAGAGGTTCACCTTTAGCTACAATAGGGAGATAGAGTTATCACTTTTTGATGCTCTGTCTTGTTTACTCAAATGATCTTTTGAATTAATAATGCCAGAGTTGCTAATGTTCTTTTGTTTGATGTCAAACACAGGCAATAAATGATAAGATACTCTCACTCAACTATGGAGATCTCAGAGCAGAGATCAAGTCTGTGGATGCCCAAGAATCCTTTAATGGCGGGGTGCATGTCCTTGTAACTGGATATTTGACTGGGAAAGACAACTTGGTCCGGAATTTCTGTCAAACTTTCTTCCTAGCACCACAAGATAGGGGGTACTTTGTCTTGAATGATATGTTTCGATATGTAGAGACTGCCAGTCAGCATGATACAGTCCAGGTTCCAGTAACTGATGCTGTGGCTCCTGTCACACCAGAGCAAAGTAATTGCAACAATCTTTGGTTCTTTTGGCAATACCGTAATAAGCAACTGACATTTTTTCTTTTACCAGTTGTTGCAGATCCACCTACAGCACCACAGAATCACATTCCTGAGCAAAGCACTCCACCAGCAGAGGAAGCTGACGTGGGAGAAGTTTACAACCCATCTGAGAATGGTGATGTGCTTATTGTTGAGGAGGAAGTGCCTGTGTCTGAGGTCGTCCATGAAGTCCAAGATGGCTCTGAAGTGGTAGCGGAATCTGACAACAAAACTGGGGAAGTTCCTAAGAAGTCATATGCTTCAATTGTAAGTGGTCATGGCAAAAAATAACTGGATGCATAGTCTATTTAGCGTATACTTTTAAGGGCTTGATTAGCAAAATTTGCACCTCTTTACTCATATTTGCTGTCAATAGTTTAGACATATTAGCATCTGCCAAGTCTAGTTGGTCTGTAGTCAAAGATGATTCAAGGATAGAGAAGGTCTATTCAAGATTTCTTAAGTTAAGAAAATCTGCTATTTATTTCAGGTCATGCATCTCAAGGAAAGTGCTGCAACCTTCTCCCCTCCTCCAGCACCTGCTGCTAGGAAGCCTATGACAAAGAGTGTTGTGCAAGTGAATCAGCCTGCTGCCACAACAACTGATGGCCCATATTCCAGCTCAGAGACCATTGATAACATAAATGACACAGAAGGCATGCAACTGCAGAGTTTACTTCTACTTTTTCAATCCATTTTTTTCCACTATTATTTGTGTTGATTTCTCATTGTTGCGTTTGTTAAATTGCCTCCAGCAGCTGATGGCTACTCAATCTATATAAAAGGCCTGCCTATGAGTGCAACTGTGGCATTACTTGCGGATGAGTTCAAGAAGTTTGGGCCAATAAAAAATGGAGGAATTCAAGTGAGAAGTAACAGGGTATGTTTGTTTGTGCTATTTTCCTGCTTATTAAAGAAAAAATCTGAATGTGTGGATTTTTTTTGCTATATGTCCCTCTGCATTGATGGATTCTCTAATCATAAATTGGTTAATGGCAGCAACAGGGATTTTGTTTTGGATTCGTGGAATTTGAAGTGGAAAGTGCTGTGCAAAAAGCAATCGAGGTATCTCATCTTTATCCCTCTTGCATGTCATGTATTTTAAGATGGAGCGGGTGAAATCGAGAGGAACAGTAGCTTAAATTTATTTCATCAAGTTCGAGAGTTCTGTGAAACGCATAAGAAATCACTGAGCAGTGAGAATCCATATGCTCTTCTTTTGTTAGTTGTTTTGAGTAACCATATTATCCACCTTCAGCAAATTGATGGCGCTGGATTGATTATTTTTTAAGGTCTTGATTGTATATTTAAATTGAGTCAATTCCTTTACCCCCAATTTGACTATCATTGTTTAGTCATCCTGCAGCGGATGATTAGTAGTTTAATGCCGTGTAATATTCTAACCAGACCCTTAGTTGAAAAGAAAGCTATGTCACTAGGCTGAGTTTAATTGCAATTCAATTAAGAGAATGAAGGATAATTACTTAAGTTTGATTTGTCTGCTAACCTCTGGTTATTATCGTATCGCTAGTTGACCTAAACTTTTGGATGAATTGATTTGTGTTGCCTAGCAATGATTGTATTCCCTGTTGAACGTGTTAAATTCAGGTGGGTTACACGTTTGTGGGTCAA